CGGTTGGACGCGCCAGTCACCCTGACCGCCTGGGCGAAGCGTTGCGAACGAGTTCGAGGTGGCGGGTCCTATGGCTTCAAGGGTTCGGTGACAAGCAGAGACAGGAGCTAGACCCTCCACCGTAAGTACCCTCTCGCAGCGAGGAGCCGTCTTGCGCCTGCTGTCTATTTCTGAAACAGATATGCAATAGCTCTGGATGCGACCAGTCGCGACTGATTTGAACGAGATGGAGCTCACGGATGCACCCGAGAGTTTGCCGTGAGATGTCAGGCAGCCTCAACATGAGATCGAGCTTCTCACGACGATGATGTCGGGAGTGAGAGCATGAGACTCCAAACCGTCGAAACATGTCGAAATCGAAGAACTGCTCTTCAATGCGAGAAACTCCGAATCATCCAACTCCTTCGGATCGCCTCCTTGGCTCGCGGAGGCTTGGGAGTGGAGTCTGGGGGTTCCGGCAGCAGCGGAGTCGCAGAGAGGCCCAGAGCTGCTAACCTCGGAGGCTTCCGACGAGTCTCATCCGGCGTTCTCGGACTCAACGCGATGCTCCGGCACAGAACCTTATGTTCAAAACAAAGGGAGGGATGCATCATCGGAGCCTGCTCGAGACCCTGAATGCACACAAACTTCTCGTTTCAAGCTGCCTGCAGAAGCCTCTCAAAACGACAGCCAAGTTCATGCATATAGGAAGGCCCGAAGTTCTCAAGCGAACACTTCCCCTACCAAGGCCGAAGGGAAGCCCTGGTTTCGAGGCCCCCGACAGACACAGAGCATCTCAAAGCCCTGGAAGCTTTGGGTCCCGGGCTTTTTCTGTCAGAGCTTCGGGATCGCGGGCTTCATCGGAGCTTGTAATAACCTGAAGCCGCCACCAAGGACACACATAAAATAACTGTGCCCTGGGTCACAGACTCCTCTCAACACTGGGAAGGCTGAGGCTTCAACTTGAAGGCAAGAGAAGCCGTCGCCGGCCCCCCAAATTTGAATTTCCGTTGAAATGGGGCAGGCTTGCGGGGCTCCTCCCGAACCATCACAAGCCCAGGAGCCTTTCATCGACCCTCAGGATGGCTCCCGATGCTCGGGCGAAGAGCCTTCGGTGCTGAACCGTCATTCCGAAACAATGAGCAGCACTTCCCTCATCTTCAGAAGGCGGTGGCACGTTGAAACACACAGAGCAACTACGAGAGACAGCTGCTGCAGGTCTAAACGGTGCTTCAATCCCATGGGAGCCTATCTGATCTCAGCCAAAGGAGCCCCTAAACCCGAAAAAACCCAAGCCGTTATGAACTGCATGGTCGCTGACTCTCCGGCTCTTGTTCTGTGGATCCAAGCAGCTCCCACGCCGATCCGATCCAGCCGACCGCCGCTCGGGCCGCCTCACTGCACCGGAGTTTGATGGGGAGCTGGCAAGGAATTTACAGCTTCAGGGCTTCAGGATACCAAAATGCCGGGGATCCTAGGGAGGCTCTTGCAAGGTGCGAAGTTCTACTTTTGTGTGACGAGGAAACGCTGCTCTTTGCAGCGTTGTAGACGTGTAGTCAATACCCCAAAAAACGCCACACAAACCAGCAAAGGTGGTGGCGGGGACAGCAGAAGGAGCCTCCTGCCACAAAGCCCACAAACTGCGCTGGGCAGCCTGATGTCCGCAGTCATCTCCGTGAAGCAACGACGCGGGAGAACCATGGTGGCCAGAAAAGGCCGTAGACCCAAAAACCGACAATATGCGAAAACCTTCTGAGGCTGATGAAAGCATACGCACACTTCAGTTGCAGCTCCGTTTCTGTAACTGGTCAAAGTCTCAGCCGGCACAGCTGCAAAGTTCAGGTTGCGTGAAGGTCCGTCACAGTTCATGCTGATGGCAAGGCGACTGCGGGGGCTCTTCGTCAAACCTGTCGAACCTGTATGAACCTGCAGGCTCGTGTCACAGCTACGACTTCAGAGCCGAAGGTGCGCTCTGCAGCTCGCCTTTTCCATTAGCAAAGCGTCCGGTCCGTCCACTGCCGGTGGAGAACCCCGCTCTGCGTGACAGCGTGCGGAGCGCGTTGGCTCAAATGATTTGTCATCCTGCCGCGAGATGTCGGAAGCTTGACTTTGGATCTTGCAAGGCACTTGCAGGGAGCTTCGATGAGAAAGGTGTGATGCCAAGCCAGACCTCTCACTTTGGGAGTGAGCGCATGCGACTCCCCCGAGAGATCTTGGAGCTCTCCGTTTCGCCGGGTGCTGGGTTTGTTTGACAGTCTATCTGGTTCAAGCAGAGGAGGCGTCTTGCGCTTGCTGCCACCCTTCAGATGCCAGTGTATGCAAGCGCTGTCGGATCTGATGCGACAGCCGTGGTTGATACTGAAACGGAACTCTTTGGCCCGCGGGATTTTGCCCTTGAGCTTTCGGCAGCCTCGAATTCGAAGGGGAGTCTTACAAATAACTTGCAAGTAGTTTCGAATATTCGGACGTCTCACGGCAACCGAAGGCATGAGACTCCGGGTTCCCAAAGACCCCCGGCCCCCCCCTCCACAGAATTGCAAAGACGAAGATCCTGCAGTCCGCTATAGCTCGTTCGGTTCCTATAAGCCTGAGGGTCTGAGAGGTTCCGCCGGACACTGCACGTACCAAAACTCTTACACTCACATCTTCAACTCCGCTCTCCTGCTGACTGTCTGAGCAGATCTGCAAGACTGCGCCAGATCTCATCGGATGCGACGGTCGTGACTGCTACTGTTGAGATGCAGCCCCTTGGCCCACGGATGCCCATGTGAGTTCACTGGGAGCCTCAACTTCTCCACTTGGGTCTTACAGGTCAATTTGCAAACAGCGGCTTCGGTGAGCTGGGCCAAAAAAATACCCTCGCGACGATGCCGAGAATCGAGAGCATGAGACTCCAGGCTTGGAAATCCAAACTCTCTCTTCCTGCATTGCTTTTAAGCTTAAGCTTTTAGGGTCCTTCGAGGGTCAGGGGAGCCTATAGCATCAGCTCCCAGAGTCGGTCAGAAGCTCACGAAAGAAAGACGGGGAGAGATGTGGACTCCTCGCGCTACATGTGGCTACGTGCTGCCTCCCTTTTTGGGGAGCAGAGGTAGAGAAGGCAATATAGCTCTATATGGAATCTGATAGTTGATGCGGCCGCAATGGTGGCCCGGGACGCGGCCTTGCGCGTCTCAGATGATGGCGGGCAGTGAAACATAGATGATGACAGCTGGAGCCTGCATTGAATTCAGAGCTTCGATTTAGGAGCTTTGAGAATCGAGCTCTACGAAAATCTCCAGAATATACTCTGCGAACAAGGATATAAAGGCTTTGAGCAGGGTTTCCGGCGGGGGAGCCGCCTCCCTGAAGATAGCTCGGCTGCTGGGTTGAGGCTGTCACTGACATAAGCTCACAAGCCCCGAAGTCTCACAGGAAGTGCAATGAGGCTCCTGTCATAAAGACCGTCTGCTTCCTTGAAGCTCCAGCTCCCACAACGCTTCCCAAGCCTGAGCCCACCGAAAACAAACGCCTTTTCAACCGACCGAAGCTCGAACAGACACCGACGCATTTCGGTGGAAAGCGACGGAAGCCCTGCCTCCGCCCCAGTCGTACGGCTCAGGGCCTTGCCTCGAGACCAACGAGCGAGTTACGCTTGGGACCGTGCCGGTGAGGGAGCCCGCGGGTCGGGTCGCGGGAGCTCGGCTTCAGCTCATGGCCTCCGCTCTCATCCCTTTCCCCCCCGCCTGCAGCTGCCAGAGCTTCAGGGTCGAGTCCTCGCTGCCGCTGCACAGCACGTGCCCTCCCCGCACTGTCGCCACCGTCAAAGCTCCGATCTCTTTGCTGTGGGCACTCTTGATCTCATGCACAGGCTCCCCGCTCTCCACCGCCCAGACGATGAGTCTGCCCTCCCTGTCGGCAGCTGCAAGGTGGTTGGGTGCCAACAGGCACAGCGAGGATACACGGCCCGTGAGGCCTTCGAGGACCCGCACGGTCGTCCAGCTGGCGAGGTCCCAGAGGCGCACGGTTCTGTCGGCGCTGCCACTGGCCAGGAGCTCGGGAGAGGCCTGGCAGAGGCAGTTGACATAGTTTGTGTGGCCACGCAGCTCCCGGACCTCCTCGCCGGTGTCAGACTTCCACACTCGGAGGGTCTCGTCGTCGCTCCCGCTCACCAGGCTTCCGGCGGAGGTCCGGCACAGGCAGCGCACCCAGTTGCTGTGGCCCTTTAGCACTCGGCCGTCTTCCTCTGGCTCCGCGAGGTTCCACAAGCGGATGGTCCTGTCAAAACTTGCGCTCGCGAGCTGAGTGTCATTGAGCCGTACCAGGCCCAGCACCAGGCTCGTGTGTCCGCTGAGCACCTGCAGCACCTCCTTGCTGCGCAGATTCCAAATCCGGATCGTGTTGTCGTTGGACCCGCTCGCCAGGACCTCCTCGGACAGCAGACACAGGCAGCGCACAGCTTCCTTGTGCCCGAGCAGCTTCGAGACAGACTCGCCGGTCCCACCGAGGTCGTGGAGAAGGATGCTGCCATCCTCGCAGCCCACCGCCACGCGGTTCGCTCCCGTAGCGCAGGCGCAGCGCACGATCGAGTCGTGCTTGACGCTGCGCAGCTCGTTGGGATCCTTCGAGAAGCCGCGGATGCCCCAGGCCTGCGAGCAGGAAGGGTGCTCAGGGTCGGGCTTCGCTTTAGTGGCCGGGGCTTGGGGCTCCTGCAGTGTTTCTCTGTCTCAAAGCCTTTGGCGCCCTGCGCTCTACACCTCTGTCGAGGTCCAGTTTCGTGGTTAGGGAAATCCCGTCTCAAGGCTTGGCAGCGTCGACGGGATGCATACCTCGATTTCAAGGGTTGAGACTGGGTTCGAAGAGGTGTATCTGACTCCACCACACCCAAGCCTCGACGTAGCTGGAATGCCCTCCCATCAACACCGGGCAAACCGGCTCTTGTCGCACTGCATCTCTGTTCAAAAGGTTGCTAAACAGTGCTAGCTGCTATCCCTAATTCATCCGCGTTGGACTCCTCTCGAGGAAATGCAACACCGCCTACCGAGTCACCTACTGATGACCTGCGTTGAGACTGTATTCGCACATGGGCCAGAATCGGAAAGCCCAGGTTAACCTCAAAGTGTCTGGCTGCTGGTTTGGGTGGCCTCAAAACGGCAACATCAACTCTGCCACCTTGAACGGGCACGGGACTTCGATGTCAAAATGTTTCAGCACACGAAGTGTCTAAAGCTCGCAATGGTTAAGCGTGTTGCACACATAGCCTCTGCTTCGGGCTTCAGGTGTCTCAACCTGTTCGTCGTAGAGTCGTCAGTGGATTGAAAAGATCTTACTTAAAGACAACAAGCATCGAACGGAAATGCAAGCCCCAACAAAAACGTACAACCAGCAAGTGAGCATGAGCTTCCAGTGTACTCGGCGACCGGCCAGACCCCAAGTCACTTGCAACATCCCTGCAAGAAACACCGGAACAGCCGTCGCCTTCGAAACCAGCTCCCTAGAAGTCAAACGGCGATTTCCGCGAGCTTATGTGCAACATGATGCAACACTGCTTTGCCAAACTTTTAAAAGATGTTAAAGGCCAGTGTCTCGCCGATTGGCTTTCCCCGGTCAAACCGGGCGAACAAGTGTGTGTCTGGTCCGAGGCCTAGATCTTTTGTCTTGTCTTCATCGATACCATGTGACAAAGCTCAAAGCCGGAACTGCAAAAGGTGCGAACCTGGTCTTTGTGTTGCGCATGCCTACAGACGACAAGGTAGCTTCGCTGACCAGCAGAAAGAACCCCCAGGCCCGCTGCCCCCCGCCTGCAGCTGCCAGAGCTTCAGGGTCGAGTCAGAGCTGCCGCTGCACAGCACGGGCTCTCCCCGCACCTTCGCCAGCGTCAAAGCTCTGATCTCTTCGCTGTGGGCACTCTTGATCTCATGCACAGGCTCCCCGCTCTCCACCGCCCAGACGATGAGTCTGCCCTCCCTGTCGGCAGCTGCAAGGTGGTTGGGTGCCAACAGGCACAGCGAGGATACACGGCCCGTGAGGCGTTCGAGCACCCGCACGCTCGTCCAGCTAGTGAGGCTCCAGAGGCGCACGGTTTTGTCCTCGCTGCCACTGGCCAGGACCTCGGCAGAGGCCTGGCAGAGGCAGATGACAACGTCTGTGTGGCCACGCAGCTCCTGGAGCTCCTCGCCGGTGTCAGGGTTCCAGACTCGAAGGGTCCGGTCGTCGCTCCCGCTCACCAGGCTCCCGGCGCTGGTGCGGCACAGGCACTGCACCCAGCCTCTGTGGCCCTGAAGCACTCGGCCGTCTTCTTCTGGCTTCGAGACATTCCACAAGCGGATGGTCTTGTCCTCACTTGCGCTCGCGAGCTGAGTGTCACTGAGCCGCGCCAGGCCCATCACCCACTTCGTGTGTCCGCTGAGCACCTGGAGGGCCTCCTTGCTGCGCAGATTCCAAATCCAGACCGTGTGGTCATCGGACCCGCTGGCCAGGACCTCCTCGGACAGCAGACACAGGCAGCGCACACGCTCCTTGTGCCCGAGCAGCTTCGAGGCAGACTCGCCGGTCCCACCGAGGTCGTGGAGCCAGATGCTGCCATCGCCGCCGCCCACCGCCATGCGGTTCGCTCCCGTGGCGCAGGCGCAGCGCACCTGCGAGCCGTGCTTCACGCTGCGCAGCTCGGACATCTGGGCGAGGTCCACGTCTCGAGTGCCGCATCCTGCCAAGGCCTCGGACGGAATTGCAAAACTGAGCCTCCGGAGTCTGTTCCCAGCGCATCGGCTAAAAGCCGACCTGAGTCCCAAAAGCCTCCTTCGCTGTGCCGCGCCTGCACGGCGTGGAAGTCCAACACCGGGTCGTGTTGGAGCTCGGCATCGAGCAAGTCCAGCGCCCAAGGTGCGTGCTGCACAGCCTGCGATGCAGAAATTGCAGGCGCTCTAGCTCCAGCCACCTACACAGCAGTCTGTGGCGTCTCACAATACCAAGCCACCTCGCCAGAAACGTACCCGTACCACGCGCAGCTGCCTTCCCTGAAGCCCGCAGCATCAATCCATGCCTCGAAGGCAAGCTGCCGGTCGCTGCGCAGGCCGCCAGCGAACTCCAGCACCTCAAGGCTTGCAGATGCTTCGGGGCGGAGGGGCCAAACAGATCGAAATCTAGCCAGGTGTGCGCGTGGAAGGATTTCCGGCTGCTGACCGGGCAATGTCTGCAACACATCCATGTCAAGAGCCGAACCACAAAGCCTTGACAAGGCCTCTCGACAGAGAGTGAGCCCGGTCGTCACGGTTGCCCACAACATCCCAAAACTCCAAAAACTCAACCTCTAGCTGCTCCTGCGAAAAACTGGCATCACCACTGCACAGATATTCCCAAGCACGGCCGGTTGGAGCCGCATTGCGTCCGCGACGAAGTCGCGGTCCTCGCGCGCTTTAGTGGTCTCAGGTGCCCGAAACCTCCTGGGATGATGCACACAAACCAAAGCAGGGTCTGTCGCTCTCTTCGGCTTTTGCCAGAGTTCGAATTTGTGGCGCTTTTGAGCTGCGAGAGTTGTAGGGTCTGTGGTCTTTCTGGGAAGACTTCGAGCTTTCGAGCTGGGGTGCAAAGCTGCAGGCCTGAAAGAAAAAATGAAACAGGATCTCGGATCGCTTCTCAATCACTTCAGATCGCTTCCTACTCTGCCGTCCTCCCGAAAGCCCCCGGCGAACTCCAGGGCTCGGGGATGCCGCTGCACTGCATCCAGCAGGAAGGATCGCTCCGAGCGCAGGGCCTGTGCAGAGAGAGAAGCCCTCAGCCCTTCTCAAAATCCGCCAGAACTGTTGACGCCACATACTTAATTGCACCGGGCTTTCGGCCTCCAGCCCTCCGCCCTTCTCAACATCCGCCGAAACGATAATGCCACAAAAATTCAGCACTTTCAGCCGCCTCGAACACATCGGCCAAGCAGGCGGCATCGTGGCTGATGCAGGCCAGGACCACGTCGCGGTCGTTCCGAAGATCCGCTGGGGCCTGGCTCTGGGCAGAGGACAACAAAGGAAGCTTGAATCGACCCTCTCACGGCTGAGGGATCGGCAGTACCCTCCCTGGCCTTCTGCAGGGCCTCTCTCACAGCATCGAAGGGTGGCAACGGAAGTGTGGGTGTGAGAAAGTCGGGCTCGCCTCGGAGCTTCTCTCCCAGTTCCTTGGGCCCCAGGCCCTTCAACACGACCTGCCGCAAGAATTCCTCCGGCGTTTCCAGCCCTGCTTTCTGGTGCAAGGCCTTGACCTGACCAGGAGTGGCCCCCAGCGCCAGGATGTCCGGCAAGGACCAGGCCAGAGACTCGTCCAGCAGGCGCACCCGCTCCTCCTCCTCCCAAGATGCCAGCAGCGACCAGATCGAAGGCTCCTGCTCCTCGCTTTGCATGGTCTTTTGGTCCAGGACCTCCCTGAGCAACTTCCCACCGTGCCGAAGACCGGCAGCCGCCAGAATCTTCAGCGCCTGGCCACTCTTCGAGTGGAGCGCGCTGTGCACCAGGGTGAAGGTGCGGGAGATTTCTCCGGCTGGCATCGTGGTGGTGAGGGACAGGTTGGCATCCATGTCCACCAGAGCCCTCACGATGTCGAGGTGGACTGGCTGGAGGCCTTGCGGTCGCAGCAGCACTGCGTGCAGTGGTGGATGCCCGTCTTTGGCACTGCTGGGGGTGTTCGGGTCGGCCCACTCAGCCAGCAGCTGCTTGACCTTGGGAAGGTTCCCATCAACACCTCGGCACGGCAGGAAAAAGGCTCAAGGCAACTGCGCAGACGCGCGCACATCACGAAGTGAGAGACAACATGCTCGAAGGTCGACAACGAGGCTGTCAGAACGAATTGGACGAGCTCAAACTGAAAGAGGAAGGCTGCTGCAAAAAACAACATTTGGATGGGATGGCGTCGGCCCTGGAGCATCAAAGCCATAGCGGCCACTTCAACAAGGAGCCGTTTGAGCTGTTCCCTATGTCTTTTACGTTTGTGCTGGGCTGTTTATGTCTTTAACATCGCTTCCTTCTCTAGCCTGCTTCTCCTACGGCTGCCCCTTTGTGGCTACAACGCCACAGCGAGTATCGGAGGAGGCTTCAAACACCTGCCTCGAGGAATGTCTGTGCGCAAAGAGGCCTCTAAAAACCAAAAGCCGCTCAAAGGAGGGCTAGAGTGTAAGCAACTAACACTTGAGTTGGGCACAACCTCTTCTTCAACAAAGGGTCTGAAGTGCCGTCTTTCGATGCGCTGTGTTCTGATGACATGCTCGTGCCCCCTGTACAATGAGGTGCATGCCGGAAGATGCCGGAAGCAGAGACGGCAGCGAGAGAGAGAGAGAGAGA